GCGGGGCCACCCTGCGCCCGGGCGACTACGCCTTCGACGCGGAGCACGGTGAGACCCCCGGCCCCGCGCGCTGCCCCGTTTCGGGAGGGAAGGCCGGGGGCTGCTCCGTTGCTGTGGATGGGGTTGCAGCCGGGTCCCCTCTTGCAATCCCCGGTGTCCCCACATTGCAGCCCGTTGAGTCCCCATTTTGCAGCCTGTGCGGTCCTGGCTTTGCAGGGCATAGAGCCCCCATGCTGCAGGCCATGGTGTCCCCATATAGCAGCCCATGGTGTCCCCATGTTGCAACCCACCACTTTGCAGCCTATGGTGACCCACACATTGCAGCCCATTGGGTCCTTGCACTGCAACCTGGCAGGACCCTGTGTTGTAGCCAACATTGTCCCCCTGTTGCAGCCGGTTGAGTCCCCACATTGCAGTCTGCAGTGTCCCTATGTTGCAGCCCATGGTGTCCCTTCATTTCTGCCCATGGTGTCCCCACATTGCAGCCCATGGTGTCCCCACATTGCAGCTAGTTGGGTCCCCATGTTGCAGCCCATTGCCTCCCCTCCATTGCAGCCCATGCGGTGCCCACATTGCAGCCTCCTTCGCAGCTTGCAACACAGGTTTGTGCCCTCCTGCAGGTCATTTCTACTGCTTGCTTCACGACAACCTCCCCACCAGCATGGACCTGCCACACGATGGGTCCCCGCTGCTGCCCGAGCACGTGAGTAGCCCCAAATGCGACAGGGCAAAATGGGGGCCAGCCCGGAGCCAGCGTGCCGGCCCCCAACCGGGGGGCAGGGGACAGGGATGCTCCAGCATCACCTCCTGCCATCTCCTCTGCCCCAGGATGTCAGCACAAGCCACCCGACCCCAGTCACAGGGAACTCATGTGTGACCCCCGAGGAGGCAGCATCTGCTCAGCCCCCAGTGGTCCCAGTGCCACCACCTGCATCGCCACCAGAGCCTCTGCCGGAGTCACTGTCGGAGTCTCCACCGCCAGAGTCGCAGCTGGAGTCACCGCCAGAGTCACTCTCGGAGACACCTGCGGAGCAGCCGCCGGCGGCTCCCCCC